CCCCAAAACCCCAAAACCCCAAAACCCCAAAACCCCAAAACCCCATGTTTGCTCTTAATGGTTGAAGAGAACAATTTTAGATTTTCTTTCATTTTTTTAATTGCTCTTCGCTTGACAGTTCATCAAATATCTCTACCCGTGGTTTTGATAGAATGCTGCACGCGATATAATATGATAGGGAATATCCAATCATTAAAATACCTATTGATGTTGCACATTTTCTGTATCCAAAGTACTCAGTAACATAGCTGCCATAAATTGGAGCAGATCCTTGACCAAGTGTTAAATAAAAGTTTAGCACTCCGGATGAAATATCTGAAATTAAATACTTATGATTTGGGTATTTAGCTACTCCAGCTTCAATAAGAACAGGCAGTATTGGAAGCATAAATAGTACTTCAGTTGCTCCCATGATCAAGTGTCCTGTTGCCAATAGGACCAAACTGTTAGGAAGAAAAGTGCTTGGGCCCATTAAAAATAAAGAACTCCCTCAAAAGAACATTCCAAACACAATCAACCGTTTAGGATCATAGTTTTCAATGAAAAAAGAAGAGAAAATACTCATTATTACATAGGCAACAGGATGAATACTGAATATAAAACCAATACCAAATTTAGAGAGATTGAACTCTGCAAGCCTCACTGTCAAAACTGTTTCATAATAACAACAATTAAAGAAACACCAAAAAGCTCAGATTGATGTGAGAAAAAACAGAGGTTGTATAAACAGTTTGATATATGAAAATTCTGGACTTGGGGTAATGCTTTCCTGGTCATGTGCCACTAAAATTTGCCCTTCATTTTCTTCCGAGTCATTGGCATCTATTGAATTTGGAATGAACCAGAACAACAAGAACAACATGCATATGAACATTCCAGCCATTATAAGAAATGTACCTTGAAATCCAACTAGAGTGTACAGAATTGAACCGAGTACAGGTCCGAATGCCGATCCGGCTCCTTTGGCTGATTCTCCGTAGCCAAGGTAAGTCATTTTCTGGCTTGCAAAAGACACAGTAATTATTGCGTATGTCGAAGTTGAAACCATTCATGCTGCGACTCCTTGCAAGATTCGAATTCCAAACAGAAAGCAAATAAGTGTGGTTTTCGATTTGAGATTGCCTCAGATGGCAAAAGTGATCATACACATAATAAACATCGTTATTCCGTCTAAAAAATGTGAGTATAATGAAGTGCTTACACAATAGGACTCTATTTTCTGCCAAACCAGCGCATGAGAGCGATGACTCAAAAGGAAAACACCATGCTGACTAGAGAATAAGTCGCGTAGATGTAACCCAAAGTTGGAGCAGAAATCTCAAAATTAGCAAACTCAATGGGGATGAATGGAACAAAGATCATATAGGTGGTTGACACCATAATATTTGAAGCAATAAGGGTTGCAAAGGCCTTCTTGTTCATTATGAATTTATTTCTAATATCAAACCAAATTCTGCTTATTTGTATAAACTTGACGGTTAGGGGTTTTGGGGTTTTGGGGTTTTGGGGTTTTGGGGTTTTGGGG